ATAATAATAATAATAATAATAATAATAATAATAATAATAATAATAATAATAATAATAAGGAAACAAATTCCAATTCCTTCCAAACGTTAAGTTAGTTAATTATGTTGCTTATAGCCTGGTGATAGAAATAAGTAATTTATTCAATTCTGAAATCAACCGCTTATATCCACCTAATACGCGGGCTCATTTAGCTTTTGTGGATATTTAAAGTCCATGACATCATCAGCTTTGGTGGCAGAAGTGGGCCTTCATGTTCAGTTAATAGGAGTAGTAGTTTTTCCATGGATTTAGTTCTTCCACGTGTATCCATAACATCATCAGCTTTTGTGGATATTAAAAGTCCTCAAAGTAGTTATATTTACGGAAAAGTATTAGGACAGATGAAAGGAATAAAATTGAGATATCTTCGTTTTTTTGGTCATTTCACTCTTACCAGAAGCTCATCTCATTCCCGCTTCTCTATATATACTAGTTAGAAGTAGCTCGGGCAAAGCCCGAGCCCAACATAAATAAAGCTATATTATTTTATTACATATTGTGTTATCTTACAATTCTAATCGTAATATTTTTGAACTTTCACTTTCACTTGTGAGGATGGTTTACTAATTTTTCAAATTGTTTGTCATTATTTACAAGTACTAAAGGGAGATGTAAAGAGTAGTACCATTATAAATAAAGGTATAATGATAATATCAACCGGAACATTTCATATTTGCATCGCTGATTAGCTCTGCACCATTTCAAGGAAAACTAATGTATTGGATTAAAATGGACAAAAAGTACTCTTAACATGGTATGATATTGTCCACTTTAATTTAAGCCTGCACGGTTTTCTCCAAAAAGTCTCAAACCATTAAGAGTATTTAACTCCTTATAAGTAGATTCTTTTTTCCTTCTACTTTTTATGCCGGACTTTGTTCACACATTTCCAACAATCTCCCTCTTGACAAAATAGTTTATGACGAAGCTTATGAAATAGTTAGTACATATTTATAACTTAGAAATTTGGAAGTTATATAAACTTGATTCAAGTAATATTTTAGTTTTCCGGCTGTAGTTTAGTTTATGGCTTTAACAATAGCCAATGTGGCGCCTACAAAAAAACAAGGCTTACTTAGTTATTTTGATTTATAAAATAAATGTAAGAAGTTACACCTAAAGCTTAGGATGTACTCCCTCCGGTCCAAAATAAGTGATTTTTGGATGTTTTCACACAGATTAAGAAATTCACCTTTTAGCATTAATTAGCAATAGAATTGACCATATTAACCTTTATTATGTCACATAAATACTCCTAACACATATTCCAACACTATTTACTCCAAGGACAATGTAGGAAAAAGATAATTAATTCACTCTTGAAATCTGAAAAAATTACTTATTTTGGACCACAAGAAAAATGCCAAAAAAAACACTTATTTTGGACCGGAGGGAGTAGCACTTAAAATTAAATTTAAGATTTGAAAAAGTTAGCATTTAAAGCTCATGTATTAAAATGCAAGAATTAATTTGACATTTGCAAATTATATTGTCTGAGTTTAAGGAGGACCCACAGATTTTAGAACTTGGCATTTGAGTGTTTACCTTTTTATTTATTTATGTTAAACTTTTTAGTTATTATTCAATTTTCTTTGCATTATTATATTACAATAATTAATTTTGTACCATAAGTATTAATACTCCTCTGACTTCTAAACTAAATCAAGATATGATACTGTGTTTAACATTAACATAAGAGCATTAGTTATCATTTCTGGGAACTGTAATTTCTAATGGTGCATAGCTCAACATGAATAAAGTTAGAAAAAAATATAGAAACTCCAAAAGATGGCAGGGTGGGCCCTTCAATTCCACATGTTCAGTTAATATGTAGGCTCCATGTACGTACTTGAATGAGTTAAATTTTTTTGTGGCTTTTGTTCTTCCACGCATATCCATCATGATATCAGCAGCTTTTGTTTATGTTTGAAGTCCTCAAATATGATCCATATTTACGAAAAAGTGTTAGGACAACCTAAGGAAGAAAATGAAGGGTAGTGGTTTTCTAGTCAATTCACATTGACCAGAAGCTCTATATATATATATATATATATATATATATATATATATATAAGTTTTCGCTTTTTTTCGAAATCATAAAATTTTCAATTTTGACTTGAAGATGTATTTTAAAAATTTTGAAAATTTGAAAAAAATTTCAAAAAGTTATTTTTCAAAATTTTCACTCAAATCACTCACAAAATATAAAAAACAACCCAAAATTATATTCATGTCCAAACACAACTCTAAATTTCAAATACCATTTTCACTTAAAACAAAATTCACCCTGAAATATTACAATTCTTATGTCCAAACGCCCACGTAATATCAAAAATAATTTTTATTGCATAAAAAGTACTTTCTTCGTTTCAATTTAGATCTTGGCTCAAAGTTTAAGAAAAACAAATAGACTTTTAAATTTTGTAATCGTAAAAAAAAATAGAAATTAAATTTATGCTTTGAGAATAAGCGTGAGTTCAACTCTTCAAGAGAGGGGGAGCGATGATTTAAAATTTATGGATTTGAGTTTCTACCCCTTTTAGTTTACGGGATTTTAAATTAATATTTTTTACATATTTAATGAATTTGTTATAAAATAAATACATAATTTGAACTAAAACTATTGCGTTCGACCGAACACATAACTTAAACTCTAACTTCTCTCATTTCTCAAGACTCTCTTCATTCTCTTTACCAGCCACTTGTAGACCATGTTTCTTTGTATCTAAGGGCGGAGGGAGGGTAGAACCTATGGGTTCCACCGAATCTAGTAGTTTTGGTCCAAATTATGTATTTGTCTTAAAAATTATATTGAATATTAATAAATTTAAAATTTATTAACTTTAAAAAAAAATTAAAACTTTGAACTCATAAGTTTCAAATTATGGTTCTGCCTCTGTTTAATTTGTATTCATTGGTCCACAACAATTAAGCACCCCGGGCCCGGGGTACATTTTTCCTCACACCTTCAAGTAGTACCCTTTCCTTCAATTATTTATGCATTCAAATCTTACTATAAATAGAACCCAAGATTATATCAGTTTCTTCATTCCTTAATTTCATAAGTATTATAACTAAGCTTTGAACAAAGAAAGAAAATATGGGTTCTAAGGCATTTCTGTTTCTTGGCCTTTGTTTGGTTGTTTTTTTCTTGATAAGCTCTGAGGTCGTAGCTGCAGAATTGGCTGAGACTTCCAACTGTAAGCTTACTTTCATTTGCTCCCATTGTAATTTTACTCTGAAAAAATAAACTCTTTTTTCTCATTATTTGGTCTATGATTTAACTAATTATATATGCGACTCTTCAATAAATTTGTACAAATTGATGTATTTTAACATGTTATAACGTAACATTCTTTAACCTTTCAAATTAGTGTTTATCATCTAGTAAAGCTAGTAGTTGAGTTAACTTGATTTCCACATCGAGGTAGTAGTTGAGTTACACTTCTGTATTTACTATCACTATAGCTTTATGATAACTTATAATATGTACTCCTTCTACTTCATTTTGTGTGTCTTAAACTGACTGGATAGGAAGTTAATGTAAGTAATACGGTTATTTGGAGCCGTTTTTTAAATTTTTGTGAACGATTTAATCTGTATATTTTGAAACATAGCTTTATGATTTATCAAATTCTAAAAATTTCGAAATTCAATTCAAGTAAAATTTGAAATTTTCATGGCCAAACATTAATTTCTAAAAAAAAAGAGATTTTTTTTTTATGGTCAAGTGGACCATGTTTTAATTAAGTTTCACAATTGATGCAGCAATGAAATCGGATAACGAGAATGAAGTACACGTTGAGGGACGTAGCGGAAACAATGGCGTTGGCAATGATGGATATTATGGAGGTGGCGGTGGTGGTGGTTATAAACGCAGAGGATGCCGCTATGGTTGCTGCAGAAAAGGTTACCATGGTTGCAAAAGGTGTTGCTCCTATGCAGGTGAGGCAATGGATAAAGTCACTGAAGTCCAGCCTCACAACTGATTATTATATGTAAAGAGTTTAAGTTATATATACCGTTAGTATATATAACCTTGTACGCACTATGTAGTGACAAGATGTAATAATCTTGCTACTTTAGACCTTGCTTGTAACAAGTATGAATAAAGCCATTCGGTTCTTATGGATGGTTGGTCATGTAATGTTTTGTTGTACAATATATTGTGATAATATGTTTCCATATTGTTTATTTTCGTCATATTTTAGAGTAAAGGTTTTCTTCTATTTTATGAATCCTACAATTCTCTTTTAATTCTTTCCTCGAATTTACAATTCAAGTAGAGATGGAGCTACATTACAACAAACTGCTTCTAGTCGAACTCAGTAACTTCGACCCAAATTCGATATATTTATTGTAAAAAAACTATTGAATATATAGAAACTATTAATATAAAATAAAATAACTTAAAGAGACTAAAAATCTCCAGCCCACAAAACTTCAAATTCCAGTGTCACCTCTAAACCTCCAAACCACTCTAAATTATCTAAAAGAGAGAAAAAAGCAGATCCACTATTTAAGTGTGGAGAATAATTAGAAAACAGCTAGGAGCGTACTGGGTGGCGCAATCATATTATTTGCAGTTACTTCTACAAAATTTATCAAATTGAGCAATAAAAATTTCATGTACTTTAGTTAGTGTCTGTTCCTAAAACTTTTTTCCAAGTTTTCTTCATAGTATATTTTGATTTTCTATATATTATAACTAAATTAGAATGGTAAGACTTACGTGATGTGCCAAAATAGAGTATTATCCTAGTGATTAGTGAAAGCTGACATCTCTCTCGAAATGAGAATTTTAGGGAATTTTCATAATTACTAGTGAAATGAAAAAATATTCCACAGTCTACAACTATTAATTAAATAACATATTCTACAACATTAAGCCTCATGGTAGTTTCCTATTAATTAGAAAACTGATTCAAAATATATGAAATTAAAACAAACACCAAAAAATAAGGGGTATCCTTGTTTAGGATAACATGAAGGAAATCAATAGCAAATGCAGTCAAATATTTCGTCATTTGCTGCCTTTTCAAAATATAGTTCTACGTAATACGTATTTGCATTTCAATTCCAATATCTCCTTCTCCTTGATAGGGTATATTTATATTATATATGTATGTGTCATTAATATATGTTTTATATTTGAAGTAAATATATCACATAATCTACTCACATACATGTAGTATACATAATATATATAATTTATATTAGCATCAATATATTCATTTATTCAGTATATTCATATACCAAATATATAATATTAATATAATATATATTGAAATATATAACATTTGCATATACGTATATGTCATTAACATAAGTTTTACATTTTACGTAAATATATCACATAATCTATTTACATACATGTAGTATACATAAT